GGGCCGAGCTCCCCGGAGTGTCCCGGGTCAGGTCCCCCACCGCCGAGCCTGCATTTCAAAGCCTCCCTGTGGCCCAGGAGCTCCGCGGCATCCTTCATCCCTGCACAGACAACCGCAGCAGGTGAGAGCTGCACATTAAACACTTGGTCTATACAGGAAGGAAAAGGAACACGTTAGGCAAATGCAGTGACATATTCAAGTGCACACAACAAGCATGCCTTACATGCGAAAAGGCGAATTTAGGAGCCGCTGAAGCATTGTTTAGGCTGCAGTAGAGGATGAAGCAGTTGTTGTGCATGCTTTAAACGCCTCAACACAAATACAGACATTTAAAAAAAGAAAAAAAAAAAAAAGAACAGAAACAGCCACTGCAGCTATTTTCAAGAGACAGCATGCACATTGCAATCTGCTCCTTAAATACTCTTCATTCAATTTGATCACACTGGTATCTTGGAAAATTGTTAAATCAAATTACGCAGTAATATAATAATAATAATTACTTTTCCAATGAATTAAGCGAGTTTAGCTCACTTCAGCCCCATTAAGATCAGATAAGAAGCAAATTGACCATTTCTGAGCTTGATTTAAGATTAGAAGTTCCTCCAGCTTACAGTAGAGTTGAAGACCGGAGTTTGGTGATGTTAACTCACCGAGGCGAGCATCCAGGAGGTCGGCATGAGATAGCATTGCGCACCGCTCCAGGGCGAAATGCTATTCCCAAAAAAAAAAAAGGAAACGAAAAAAAGAAAAAAATCTCTATGACTTTAACCTATTTAAGAAAAATATATAGCCTAAATGAAAGCAAATTCGGTTTGTGGTTAAAAGGGAGGTTGGTTGCATTATAATGTAGTTTAGCGAAATGGGGAGGCGCTTAACAACGGAATGAACCCATGAGCTTCTCCAAACGAGGACCAATCAGAGTTGAAGCCTGAGGTATGTCAGCTTTAGCCCGAGACCCGAGCACCCACTCCACCTGCTCCTCCTCCTCCTTCTCCATCCTCTCCATCCACAAGTTCATTCCTCCTCATTCCTGTAATTGGCTTTGATTTCTCCCCCCAAATTACATCCAATAAAATAACCTGATTTAATATCTGAGCGAAAGCTTCGACCCGCTCAAGAAATGTTGGATCACCACAATATTTGTTTAATTGCGCACGCTGCTCTGCGTGTGCTTTTACAGCAAGCCACTCGGACAAGAATTATTATTACTCGTATTAGGAAGAACCACATAAAGAGATACCACATGACAGCTACGAGTCTGCATCTTTTAATACTGCTTGTTCTTGTTCATTTTTTTTTCCTTTTTAGTCAGCTTGACGATATCATCCACCTATTTACGACATTAAATACCTCTTGGAGGTCAGACTTTTTTTTCTTTTTTTTTTCTTTCCCGTTACTGGAATCAACTAACTTTATTTGTGACCAGGCTAATGTTCAAGGCCAGCAGGTTTATATAAGATTCGTCATATCTGAGCACTTTGAAATAAAAGCAGTATAAAGTGGATGTGATCTCCTGTATAGTTCCAACTGTCAAACAGGGAGGGACTCGGTCTAAATGATGTGTGAGCAAATTAATTCAGCGAACAGTAAAGTGAGGATGCTCGCCTTTGATAAAGGGACACAGTCAGCCTAATATACCCGAAAGTCTGACACCTGAACAGATAGTCTGACAACACGGGCAACCACGTAATCATGTTTCCAACACTTTCAGGTGGGGATGGGGGGAGGCATCAGTTGTTTTTTAAAAAATCATCTGTCTAAATTATGTTGAAGAAACAAGAAAAAGCTTTTAAAAATTAACTGAAAACTCTCTTTGTCAGTAAACCACCATTAGACTCAATTAGCACGCCTGCTTTTTTATTTTTATTTTGCTAGCCTACACACACATGCACACAACAGTCTGCTACATTATATATTTAAAAAGAAAAAAAACTTAAGACAGATGTCGGAACGTTTTGAGAGAACCGGTTTATTTATTGTGTGCTGGGGGAAAAAATAGAGACACAAAGGAGGCGTCCGAGCGTGAACCCGGGGCTCGATTGGGTCTCTTTTCTTCGTCCGTCCGGGCTTCAGTTGCCTCCGCGCAGCTTTTATTTGCATGCAATCTGGTGGCACAAGTGACACACTGGGAGGGATGGGTGGATGGACGGACGGAGAGGAGTCGTGCTCGGGGGTCTGTTTGGGATGTGGAGGAGATTTTTTAACAAAGGGGGGAGGGGGGGGACTTGGAGATATTTCTCGTCTCTATTTTTTTCTCTCCAAGGCTCCATTTGAAAGCCGGACTTGAGGTAGCTGTGAAGATTTTTTTTAAGCCGGAGCTAACCGTTTCAAATCCAAATTTTACAAACCAAAAAGGGTCAATGTCATTACTGATCGCATTAATACTCGAATGCAGAAGTGAAATATATTCTTCCTCTGGCATCGTGTTTGAGGAAGTTTTCCTGACGCCCCCAAAGCTGTGAGGATCATTTCAAATCCTCACAATCCCCGATGATGGATCGTGCGCTTCGTTTTACGACTTGTCCAGAGCTGCACGCTTTTATAGCTGTACAAACACGAGCGAATGACTCCTCTCGTTGCGGCAGGTCGACACAACGTGAGAGGTGATGATGACATGTCAAGCAGCGTGAGATATTTGTGCTGAATGTGGGCCTGAGATACAAAACGAAAAGGGAAAAAAAAACGAATCCTAAAAATTTTATGCACAAACATAAAGGAGAGGAGATAGTTATTTTATGGATGCAAAGTTTATTTTAATGTATTTATTATTAAATATCAGTGCTGGGAATATTGGCCCCCATGTTTATTTAACTGGTTTAATTGTTTTAGATTGTATATAATGATTTAGCCATTACCGAGAATATGAAATCAAAAATATTTCATGTTTTCAGTGCAATGGAGACTCAGACATACATCTTGAATTCCTTCTTAATATTATTACTGTTAGTGTTTACTTTTATATAACAGTGTATTTCATTAAATGCAACCTTTCACCTTACAGCGTGAATAGATTTTATGTGTGTGTGTTGCTGCTGTTGGCTAATTAGGGTAAGCAAATGACCTAGGCACAGCTATTACTGCGTTTATCCTCCTGTAAATTCTTCTAACATGCTCGCATCAATCTTTTCCGTCATATAAATAAAAATAGACAAACAAACAAATCCCCCCGCCCCCGCGAAAGTTAATGCGGCGCATCTGAGTGGAAAGTAGACATTTTCACGCATTGTGGAGATGAGAACTGAGGACTTTTAATAAAACTGAGAGTAAAAAAAAATATCTGAAAATAAAAATGTAACACTGCTCGATGTGGTGTAGTCAAACCCATGTGTTATTGCTGCTGGTGGAGGCACTTTTGATAACAGGCCAGACTTGAACCCGTGACCTTCTGGTTCACAGTGCAGGCTCTCCAAACCATGGCCCAGGCCACTGTTTTCAACTTCTCTCTCTCTCTCTCTTTCGCTCTCCCTGCTTTGCCTTTGCAGTCTGGATTCACTCAGTTCGAGATTTCTGAGGAGCAAAACAATTGATCTTCCATCTGCACGAGCTCCCGGTTTAACAAATGAGATTCTTGTTTCACGCAGCTGATTTGGTGGCTGTCTGGGGTATTTGGAGTAATAAGTTATACAGAGGCGAGGGAGCTGAGAAACGGCTGCAGCTGATGCTGCAACTCGGCTGCAACCTACAGCTCTCCGCTCTGCGTCAGGCAAAAAAAAGAGAGAAAAGAAATGAAAAAAAAGGAAAAAAAGAAGAAGTTTGACACAGACAAAGTTTCAGGAGCAGAATATGACGAAAACAACGTGTCGACCGAAATGACTGATGGGGGCTGTGCGTAAAACCATGTAGCCTGTTACATAATATCCTACTTTAAAACATTTCCTTAAATGTAAAATCACTGTATGCATAGAAATTTGAATATGTATGGCTCTACCCACTTTATTAACAGTAATCCACAGTTTGCAAATAAAGGCTACTGTCTACAGTATAGGGGAAAATAAAAAATATGCCACAATTAAGTGTAGATACTTCAAATAAAGAACAGGTGAATAAAAAGGAACCTTTTTCAGGTTGGAAATGGCTATCGAGCATGCTCCGAAGTTATAACAATTAGCTCATTATGGAGTCATTTCTGAAGACTTAATTGGATTTCCTGATAAGTCACGTGACTCTGGAAGGCGCGAAATGAAACTTCTAGGTGACAGCTGTAAAAAGCAGCGACGCAGGGTTCCCGTGCATCTCAGAAGCAAATGTGTAGTCCACTTTGTACTCAGTCTGAGAAATGTATTACTACAGAGCAACATGTTTACAAAGCACGCAAATTAAAATGCATTTCAACGGATTAACCAGGAAAAAGCTACATCTGCCATGCCACTATTAGCTTTATTACGTCTGATTAGTGCTTTTATTTTTATAAGCAGTCTACGCGAGTATTTCCGTCCACTTGAACACAGGATTTCGGGTCAGTGTTTTCTCCACGTTACTTTCTCATCCGGCCACGACACGTTCCGAGCTGTCAGCAGCAGCCTGCGTGGGTCCTCCGGTCACACAAACCCGCAGGTGCAGCGCCCCGCCGCCGCATCTCATGCCTCAATTAGCGCCGCTGCCCTCTGCACGGACTCGATTAGGCCCGTGATTTATCCGAAAGAAATATAATTATACCTCCAAATAAAATAATCAGCATTGAAGAGCGATTTCCTTAACGAGATTGAGCGGGGTAGATGTCACGGAGTAGCAGCGCCTCATTAGGGCGGTAATGAGACTTTGGGGTGATCCCGATAATTATCGAAATCTGTAAAATAAGGATCAAGTCAAATGTAACCTTAATTTGTCTGGCAATTGAGTTCATTTATTAGTATGACTATTTAGGAAGGACTCCCTCAGCCTTAATGTAAGGTGCCATTATTTTAGGCCATCTGGGTAATAGATGTAACTGCAGAGGCGACATTACAGGCCTGTTTTGTCATTCATGGCTCACACTAACATTTGTCATATGACTGACAGGGTTACCAAAAGAGCTCTTGCCTTTATTGTAGATATCAAGACACAGTCCATTTCACTGCTGCTAACAGGAATAACAGCACTGTTAATGCCATTAATCTCATTAATCTATGAGATCAACATTAAACTTTCATGTGTTTCTCCCAGTTTCAATGTGTAAACAGTGCATAAAAGGGTCAAACAACACTTAAAGAAAACACTACACTAATCTACTATAATAAACTGAAGGTTTTATAATATTATTGTGGAATTATTTTATTTTTTTCACACAGGAGAAGCGTGATCAAAATGTGGTGGCACGTTAGCAGTAAAGAAAAGAAATAATTACATCAAGAAAAGAGACTTTGAATGGATTCAGTTGGCCTCCACGGTTCCAAACAAGGCCTGACGAAAGGAATGGACATTTAAGCAAGTGAATCTCACAGTGAGAACAGAAATGCATCAGAAATCATCCTTCAAGCTTCACTGAGTCCAATATGCTTCTAGCCTCTTTGTACTCCTCTGATTCAGCCAATTCCTCTTCTGTTTCCTGAAAACACACAAACACACATATAGGTTTTGTTTTAGTGCCATCTACTACACTTCCAAAGAAGGAGTTACAACTGTCTTCACTAGACAAACAGGTTTGTTGTCTTCATATAAAAGCATTCTTGAGGAAATATTTCAAACTGTATCATAATGGTAGGAACCAAATTCATCCAGGAAGGGTTGATATGATGTAAAACCTGACACTGAAGTGTGTTTGCATTCCTCTGGTAGTCACCACAGTGACAGCACTTCCTAATGACCTGTGATGAGCATGTGCATATGCGTATGCCTGTCTGAAGGGAAGAAAGAAGGGAGGATGAGTAACAGGGAAGGGGACAGGTTGCTAATTTCAGGTTAGCTCCCCCTGCCCAGCATTCAGCTCCCATGTGAGTGACTCACACCTCCAGCTGTCTGACTGCTGCTCTGCATTAATTTCAATGACCCTGAGACATCCATGCTGATGTTTGCCTCTCACCATATCAGCTTAAGTCCTGGAGGGTTTGGCATGCTGTGTGGCTGTATATATACTGTATATATATCTGTATATAAGTGCAAAGTGTGGTGCTTGAGCTTATTCTAATGATCAGTTCATTAAGTCTACACACATTTAAAAGAAAAAACATCTGACTCAACACTGGAATATCCAGGATACCACAATATACTTTAAATTATGTGGCCACAAGTGTCCTGGCATGAAACTGTAGCCAATTGTAGACCTTTCCCACTAGTATGTACTTGAGTCAGCTTGGCATGGCTCGACTTGGATTTTAAGGTCTACCATTAGGTGGGAGTACCTGACACCAGTTACTTTTTTTTGTACCCACTTAGCCAGGGCTCCAAGTGATCTGAGACGATCCGAAAACGTGACATCAACAGACAGCATTCCCCCAATTGGCTAGTCAGTGGCGTCACTTATTGAGTCATGAGAGTCTTCATGAAAATCAAAACCACCATTTTTGAAACCCAGCAACAAGGGAAAAGGCTGCACAAAAAACAACATCCTGGTCCCCAAGTGTGACAAAAAGCCATACACTGAGCAGCAGGTGTACAATCGCCTCGATGTCCACTTTTGTTATGGTGTTTGTGTCGCATACAAATGACATCACAGGACTTTTGGCAGCATTGCTATAAGGACCCTACACACATTAGGTGGTAATGATTGTAATGGAAAACGACAGAAACAGCGTAAAGTCAAGGCAAGCTGAGTAGGTACTAGTGGAAAAGGGCTTTTAGTGTCTGCTAGGCCTCACCCACACAGTGCTAGAGACCAATTGGCAACCCCTGGTCACAAGTGTGCATTCAAATTTGCATTCTCCGATTCACTGGTTGCTGGATGCCGGTAGGTGAAATCAGTTGCCACAAGGTACTGCACTAAAAAACTCCTTATGATTGCTTCTGTCACTAGCAGTCTGTTGCTGTCCTGCGTAATTTGAATGGAATATGCATATGTGTCTGCAAATACTTGCTAACTAACTACTAAACTGTAGTAAAAACTTGAAAAAAGAATAATGCATACTAAAAAAATGACCATTCACCTTCAAAATAAAGTCTCTGGCCCTGTGTGACTGGGGCTTAGCAACCAATTTCAGAGCGACTGCGAGCAACCTTCAGTAAACACTCACAACCAGTAAAGGAAACCTTTTTTTTCCCTAGCAAACTGTGGGTAACTGGTCTCTAGGCATTCCTGCCTGTTGTGACATGGCAGTAAATTTAACAGGAACATTATTACTACTACTACTACTACTACATCCTTGCTTATTTATGGTACAGCATTAAGGGAACTATGTAGCTTGTTATCACACCAGTAACCATAACCTGATGTTGTCTTTTCCATTATCGTTTTTTTTTCTGTTACATGCTGGTCTCATTGGGAAAGACAACTTTTTAAAGATCTGGCATTAAACTGAAATCCAAACACATTAAAATGGGGATCTTAGGCCTTTTCATTCTTTATTATTAATTATTTTGATTATTAATATTTTAATTATTAACTATTTTAGTGAAATGAAGCCTGACAGGAAGGATGAAGCATGATCCAGGTGTTGATCATGTCTACCAGATGTGAAAAAGGATAGGTATTCGCTAGTACTAATACCATACTATGTTTAAAAAGCAAGAGTATGAGAGTTGTGTGTCTTTCATACAATTATAATTACAAATCTGCATTTTTAATGAAGCTTTACTAAGAAACACATAATTAGTTATTAAATATTGTGATACCTACAAAAGAGAAAAAAAGATTAAAAATAAAACTTGAATGCTGGGGTTAACCATTTTTCTTGATGCTGGAATTTTAAAGTATAATAAGCTGAACATTTTTTTCTTCTACCCACAAACGCATGGCATGAAATTCTTTTTTAGGGAGGCCATGAGATATTAGAAGTCCAACTGAATTAATTATCACAATAGCTTGTGTCCTGTTGTTTTATGAAAATTTAGTTCACCTCATGGTGGTACTTACTAGCAGCTGTAGCAGATCTGCGTGTGCTATGGCCAGCCGGCGGTGACAATCTGGGATCATCATTCTGGACTCCTGCAACACCTCCATCTGAAAGCACACAGAGACCGCATCAGTGCCATCACCACCTTTATTAATCCGAAAACCCCTGCCACTGCTCCTATTACCAGCTTTCATTACAGGTCTTCACAAAAGTCAACACATTACTGAACATGTATTTTCCAAGCTTTGACCATTAATTTGAACAGCTAGACAAAGTGTATTCACTGGCTGGATTGTGCTGTAGCTTTACTCCTGGCAGTGACATGCAGGGTGTCCCTCATGCACTCTGCTGTGGTTAACATCTCTCAACAAGCCGGCAGTATGAAAAATGTTATTGAGTTATTGATCGGGCCGGGAGTTGGGCAGCGGGGGACCACCTCGATCTGGCTCCACACCTGGATGAATGAGCCGAGAGCATTGTGATCAGGCGTAAAGAGGTATTACTACGCCTGCAGTGTAACTGTGTTGCAGCCTGGGGTACTTTCACAGCCGCGGCTAATGTGGAATTCCCCCAGCTGGCACCCTAAAGAGCGGAGAAGAGCTGGCTAACACTGTCAGACACAGTCACTCATGACAGATGCTTCCTCAGCTAGGCCTGTGTCGAGCTGGAAAAAGTCAAAACATGGACTCAGTTGCACATGTGTACATTACACGGCTATGCACACTAACAGTCTGCCTGCCTGATGGCGTACAAGTTCATCCAAGTGCCTAAACTGACATACCGAAAAATAGTGGACAAATTGTCAAGTTGGCTGCCATCTAGATGTGACAAGGTAAGCTAGAGTAGGCAAAAGAGTACTGAAACAGAGAAAAGTCACGGTGCCCTCCCGGTTCGGTGGAATGATCCCATCAGCACAGGATAAAGATGACACTTACAGCGTATTGATTCCATTAAAATAAAAACCTGTAATCCATCCTGCCTCAGACCTCTCATCTCCAACCATAATCCATCTGGCCTCCCAATCTCCCCATTTAACACCAACCAAGCCTGCTGCTCAGCCTGAGCTGCCACTCTATGAATGAACAAACAAAACAACACACACACTGAATTTTAATGGAAGCCGTAAACATAATCAGATGTGATATCTGTGGTTCAGTTCCTCCCCGTTTGAATCAAGTTTGGATCCGCATCAGCGAACACTGGCCCAAATAAAGGGCAGTTATATGAAAAACCACGTCCTTCCAACAATCTTGTGTAAGCTGACCATAAAATACTGTAATAGGCAAAACTCATATTTGTCTATATATGAGTAGCAGGCTCTCTTGACAAGATCTTGAAATATTTGTATTATTTACCTTTTTTTCCACACTATTTCTTTATCGTTGTGATACTGGAATGAAGCAAAGACATCAAGAGAAGCTGTGAATTTAGTTTCCCCCAGGTATTAAACACACATTAAAGGCAAATTCAGAAATTCATTTAACATTTAAAGCTGATAAACCCCCTCGCTAGCCTACAAAATAAGGGCTATAAAGATCCCATAACGCAACACTCCGATTTTAAATTATTTTGCCATTTCCTTTTATTTTCTGTACACGGCGGGTAATGATTTGGTTATATATTTTGAGGCATAATTGAAATGTCTCTGTGCTTGCAACACCACATGGAATCATAAAGTTCCATTTGCTTATTTATTTAAAAAAAACAGCAAACCTGATCACCCTGATCACTTCCACATCCGCAACACACACCAGATTTCCTCGACTAGATCAAAACAGTGATGTAGTGTCATTAACTTTAACTTCAATATTATTTTGTGAAGAAGCAAATGGTAAAAAGCCAAATTTGGCAAGTAGCGCTGGTGGTGGACAACAACTGGGTTCACGGCACAGTGCTATGTGACAAAGTTGAGCTTATGTGCCAAATTTAAAAGAAAATTCTTCTTCTGGCTTTGACATTATAAGCTCTGGACACCATATCTAGAGACTGTTTTCATCAGCAGAGGATTGGTCCAGTCTAACAAAGAAGCAGACCATGGACCTTGCTGTGGTGAAAGGGTAAATGTGCACATGGAAGAGAACCAGACTTCCAGCTTCCATATCAAAAATGCTAAAAGTGATGCAGTGCTTCACAAGGACAAAACCTTTAAAACTAAACTGGTTTCTATGTTCCTTGACTATGTAGCTTGCAAAGATGACACATTAATATATTTATGTATATATCATTCTGATGTTTGGTGTTTATAAACCATCAAGTGTTTGCCATCTGATTATATACAGTGGTATAATGAAAATGTTTAGAATTATAAGATACAATATCCATTAGGGCTGTGCGATATGACCAAAATCTCATATCCCGATATAAGAATTCTATCGTCCGATAACGATATAAATCACAAAAGTGTAACATTTTCTGTAAATTCTGTGAATCTCGGGCAGCTCGACTTGCGGGAAGTGTTTCCAGCTACGTGTCATGTACCTGGAGTCGAGTGTTTTAACAGATGCATGAAGCTATACATTTTTAGACATAAGTTGTAACCGCCGCCGTTTTCTTTGTGAGTATTTATTACACGGCGCGCTGTGGGGAAAAGCCTGTTCCAACGTTTGAGTCTAAGGTTTATTTTTTAGCACCTGGCGGCTCTTTTTTAATTCTCATCCGTAAACACTCTGCATCTTTCACGTGATTCAGTTTATTTTTGAAAATTCTCAACAGGATCTTGAGCTTTATTGTGAAAGGTTTATGTGGAACATAAACAAGCGGACACACCATGGTGTTACAGTTGTTGTTGCTAACGACAACGCATAAAAACAGGCGCTTGTCCGTCCGTAGTGTGGTTATATTAAATATAAGAGAAAAAGAGAACTTTAACAAATTAATATAGCCACTACAGTGACCATCAAAACGATGAAAAAATATTGCCGTAAACAGTTTATTTTGCGACACCACGAAACAAACGATAGCGTAAAATGAAACGATAGACGTTTTTATATTGTCATTCGATATATATCGTTATATCGAACAGCCCTAATATCCATACATGTCTGTGTCATACATAAGTAAAGCAAAAAAAGCTCAAAAACTGCCCACACGACTGTCCATTTTGCTAGCTAACGTTAATATTATTATATTATTTGAATTGAATATTTTAAAAGACATAAGAAACATGTTGGAGTGAGAAAATTCCACAACCTGTGTACAGACAAATGATGGAGGGATGCAGGCGCAGTGAGAATGGAGAGCAGGATATGGGCCAGTGATCTGTTAGGGACACTAAATTACCAGCATGTGTCAGTAATTATCAAACTCTTTTAAAGTAACATGATATAATTACATCTGAATCAAGCAAATTACAAAATCACTAATGATTCTCCTCTCAAAACCTAATTCTTCATTATCACTGTGGACTGACCTCATTATATGAACGAAGGGCTACTCGAATTATCAAGACACAATTCACTCCCTAACTATGCGAGAGCAACAACCCTCCCTCACTTTACTGGCTGAGATCAACAGAAGGAACAGGTGGTGATAAATGGATAATTCAAAGGCTTTCAAATTAAGACACATAATTGCTCTACAGCATCAAAGAAGCAAAATGTACCTGTTTCTTGATGACATAATCATCTGCCGCCTCTGTTTTCAGGCGCTCGATCTTCTCTTCCTGCTGCTTCGCTTCAGTTATGTACGCAATCTCCTCCTTGGCCAGCCTGCACAGAAACAAGAAGACGGAAAAGACACGGTTAAAGGCAGCCATACAGTGTTGTTCCATCAAACATAAAACGTAAACGCACAGCCTCTCAGACGGATAATATAGGCTGAACCAAGAAAAGGAGACTGTGATGGTCACTTTTTACAGACAGGGCCATCTATCCTCATTCTCCCCAGCACTCTTGTGACTGAGGAGGACACAGTGAGATCATCTCCCACAGGATGGCAAGAAACACACCTCAATAACACGCAGCAAACACATCACTTCTCCTCACTGCTCTGAAGTGGAGATCAGCCTTAAATAATGCTTTGAAATTCAACTTATCATTTACACAGCGCTCTAACAGTGGCTAAAATAGGATGCATTTACATGAAAGACATTTTATTTCTGGAAAGGAGCAACACTTCACACTAAATTTAAACCGGATAACAGTTTTTTTCTTTAATAACTGGCAGTAGCAGATCTAAGCCTGAAAATAATGTGGATGAGAACTATGGTGTTTATATGAGTATATGAGGTTTTATTATTTTTATTCACTTGTTAAAACGGAGTTTATTAAACTCTTTAAAATTGAGATTAAACAGCACAACACTGTCATTCATCTGCAGTCAGATTTGTTTTGTTTTTGGTTTCTTTACAACCATCGGAGAAACATCGGGCTTTTTAGCCTGTACACCAGTGTTAGTGAGCTGCCAGCAATATATTTTAATGTGATATATTTGTTAACTTTTATAGAAAAAAAACTTTAGGGGGCAGTTGATGTCCACGGTCTGGCCTGCTCTAAAACGGAAGAATATATCAATTGTATAACATGCATTTCATTTTGTATCCTCTTATTGTTTTTGCAGCACTTAAACCTTGAACTTATGCATCTTGCAGTCAACAGTATTCACTAATTATATTATTTAACTTCATATATTACAATATATGAATGCGTCACTAGTGAGTGAGATCTGATTCTTATTTAACGATAGTACACAGAATGCAACATCATAAACTTACATACAGGATAACACTGATACAAATGTTAAACTAAACTGAATTTAGATTTAAAATAATAATAATAATAATACTAAATGATTCAATTAAATTTTCTGCCATAATGGCCAAAGAAGGGATTCAAAAGCCCAAGTTCACATTTGTCTTGTGCACTGAAAATAAAGAAATTAATATATATATACACACTTCTCAGTCACAGAGCAAAAATCGCAAATCGTCATTTTTGAGAAGGCTGACCAACAAACACAGAATTTTCTTTGTAATCATCAAATATTTTGTTCATCTCTAATCTATATACGCACATAAATGTAGCTCTGTCTGGAAACTTCCAGCATTCTGCATGGAATAAATGGAAAAGCTGTGGGGGTTCAATGCCGGGAGGGTTTATTTTCAATGTGAAGAAAAAGCAATACAGCTTACATGAGAGCAACAAGTCAGTCAACTTCCTTTGCATATCTAATAGCAATAAATGATTTTGCCTAATCTACCTAGTGATGATATATGAACGCATGAAACTGCATTACTTCATTACATTTGGCTGGTTCTTTTTAAAATGATTTAACTCTCTCCTTTACATACATAGGGAAAATGGGTAATAGAAACGGAAAGCTAACTAAAGAATTTTAAAAATTCTAAAATTGAGTAATCCCAGTGGATTTCCAATCTTCTAACAAAGGCTTTGGAAAATCGAGCCTGTGGCAGACGAATTTGGACAATTACAGATCTTTTTGTGTTTTGATTTTTACTGCAGAGAGGAAAGCCTCTGAAAACACATTTAGATTTCATTCTTTATTTAAAAATATTAATAGTAGGTCTCTGCCCTGAATTCATCTAAAGATCATATTACATCATACATATTACTTTTATCAATACACTTTTGAAATGTGCAAAGTAGGACATTATATCATGTCACTCATGTCTTTTGTGTTAGCATGTCACAGAAAAACACACAGAAATCAGCGTAACCTGCATACTGCCATCCAGCTCACATCCTATCAACATGATTATCTGGCTCCTTTATCCACCTTTATTGTCTTCGACACACACACACACACACACTCCCAGAAGCTACTAGTTCTTTTTTAGACATTAATTGATCATCAATTCAATCCCTAATTTAGACCAAGTCAGGTGGTAAATGGGCCTCTTTTTCTTGATTATTAGTGAAAATAGGCTTGAGTACATTGATAAATTCTGATTATTTATCAATTACGGCCCAAATGGAACTAAATCTCTTAAATAGATTCCGACCCTGATTGGCATAATGGAGTTTGAAAATATAGCTATTGATAATGATTTCCAACTAACAGTCTTTTTCCGGCTGCGCCTGCTGGAGGGACTGACAACACAAATTTCATTTTTCATGAAATCAGCTGTGTGTGTGTAAGTGAGTAATCCTTCATTAGTCAGTCACATTACTGGAGACCCTTCCCTACGCGTTGCACTGCTCTTTGCCTAGCCAAGGAAGCCAATAGCACTCTGTCATATTTTACATCAATTACCACTCATTCTAATACGGTTCCATCAGGAAGCTTTTAAACAGGCACCGTATGCAATAGCAGATCCTGTCTTTCACTCTCATGCTTAATGTAGAATGAGTTATGTCACCTGTTAAGAGTCAAAGAAGGTGGCAAAGAGAGAAGAAACGATGGAGGTAGGAAGGCTGAAATAATTTGAATAAAACTGAAGGACAGTCTAATAACAAAATGTCCATTCCTCCCCTTTCCAGTCCTGATGTTAATTTCTTATTTCTCCCAGACTTGGAGCGCTGTGCGAATAAGGGGTGGGGTCGTGGCTGGTTTTAAATAGACCTGCCACCTCAGGCTTAATGGAAAAGGCAGCTCTCTGGAAAATAGAAAAAAAAAAAGGAATTAGAAGCCAGCCGACACACACATTCGGTCGCCTGCTCTAGCACTGTATTTTTGAGCTGCGATGTAGTCTGCGCTGGGACCGGAATGACAAAGGCAAATTACTGTTGTCATTTTATTAAGGGCATCCGCCTCGCTAGGGCAGAAAGGCACTGACTGGAATGTGCAGAAGCCACTGGAAATAAGCCTGGCTAAAAGAGCAGGCAGGTTTCCTCTAAAGTCGTACATATAAATGTATGTGTGTGTGTGTGTGTGTGTGTGTGTGTGTGTGTGTGTGTGTGTGTATATACTTGTGAGTGTGAGAGAGAGAGAGAGAGAGAGAGAGAGAGAGAGAGAGAGAGAGAGAGAGAGGGTAGAGGAAGTGAAAAAGCTGGGAACAGAGGCAAAAAGGAGACTATAAGAGAAGGACACAACACAGAGCAATGACACTCTACACTTAAACAGTTTGATAAAAGGTTCATGTCAACGTACAGCTGTTGGCCTTGAGGGAGTAAGATTTTAAATCTTATCTTTTGTTCAAATAATATACTCAACTTAAAAACCTCAGAAGAGAAAGCAGGGATGATACTGGCTAATAAAATACTGCACCCTTGCATTGTTGTTTTTCCTATACTGACCACTCCTGGACACTCTGTGACATTATCCTCTCTGGGATGTCCAGCCTCCATCATTACCACCGGGGAGCCTGTTGGTAATCTGACCCTCATCAAAGTGCAATCGATAGCGTATTACACAAACAGCACTGACAGGAGGGAATTAGAGGTCTGCCTGATTGACGATAGGTACACTCAAACCATCCCACAGACAACTGAGCCCATTATCTCAAGAATCCTCATAATGTCTACAACATTTTCTATTCCAGCATGGTAAATTTGGCCGTTGTACAAATGTGGAGCCAAGCTCGAAGTAGATGCCAACTCTTTTAGTAGGACAGCTTAGACTAGTTAATGAGTTTGCAGGTCCTACATCAAAAGGCCCATATCAATCTATCTAGAAGTGAAGCGAACACTAAACCATTATAGATGAGCAGTGTTTGCCTACAGACAGGATTTACAGTTTGGAAAAGAGAAAGAATAAAGATGGAATATGTTCATTAGAAAATTTGGAAAACTAGGCAAACAATGAAGAAACAAATGGGACGAAACAGCTACTGTACACCCAGTTGTACCGTTAAAGTTAAAAAGCAATACAAGATGTCTGAACTTGCCAGGAGTTTGTGCAACTAGCCAACTTGATGTTAAACATTGATGCCGTTGTTAACTGCCGCCAGAAATACAAGTCGGTTAAACCTATTATAGTTATTTTAATAATGTAAAACTGCAATTACTGGTTCATGAAGCTCCTAAAATACACAAAATGTTTGTTTTGCCATTATTTAACTTTGTCCATTTAAGATATTCTGTGCTTTTAAATTATTTTTTTCAGTTTTTATACTACCGTAATTGTCGGGCTATAAGCTGCTACTTTTTGCACAAGCTTTGAACCCTGCGGCTTTTAGTCAGGTGCAGCTTTTCCATGGATTGTCCATGATTTTTGTGATATCGTAAGACGATTTGTTTTGTTTGTTCCGCTGTTGTACGGCACTACGTTGCCTGGCGGAAGGGCATGTGATCAGACACACAGTATCGGGGTTCAAGAGTGGTATGTTGGTCACATGTCCATCTGCCAGGCAACAAGTAGCGCAAAAAACAAACTTCAAAGTAGCGCTACGCGTACAGCGGGAGGTGTGGATGACTAGCGGCGATAAACTTGGGAAAGCAAGTTATGCTCAACTCCACCAGTGGAATCTGACAGCGTGGAAAAGTGTGAAAACATCCATGATCACCAACGGATTTCGAAGGGCTGGACTGCTGCATGATGGAGAGGAGGACACCACCACAGCCCTTCTGAGGGTGTTCGACTCTGACACTGACAACGAGGATTTCTTTGGTTTTGAAAGTGACAACGAAGGAAAGGAGCTGAGAGTAGATGACGAAGCCATCCTGAGCCTGTTCGTATCCGACACTGGAGAAGAGGACTTTGGTGGTTTTAGTGCGCAGGAAGATGGTGGTGAATGACTGACTTTTCTTCTTGTTAAAGCCGTGTCACTGCACCTGAGCCTAAAAGGTAGTCCGAATCTATTTTTCTGGTG